TAGGCTCCTGGAGCTCAGCCAATAGATTTTAACATTAAGTGACCGAAACTAAACACTCCCTCTCCTCCCATGAGGTCAACTTGGATTCCATGTAGAAGGCTACTTATACCGAATATTCGTTTTACACTAGACTACGCTTTTCTCTGCTCTTATTTACACTTATATGCGTTGAGAATAAAACACAGAAGATTTCAGAGAAATTCTGGTTTGAAGCAATTACATCTTAGTAAATTGCGATAGGGTACTGACGCTGACTAATTCATGAAGGTTTTAAGATCACTTCTCTTGACTTGGATTCGGTAACTACAGAAATCAAGGTTTGTTTGTCTGGTCAACGTTGTAATACAATCAAATTTGACAATACAAACGGATCAATCTGCTCATTCCATGCATTTGGAGTTTTTAAATCTCCTTTGCTAGTTATTATTATTATATCAAATGGCAGGCGTTATGATGGTTATCATTAACCCTTTAGTTGACTTCAGGCTTCAAAGAGGGGATGGAACATCAAAGTGTAAAACATTCAAGAGGGGGTGGGCAGAAGAGTGTATCAAAGACGAAGGGAGATAAGGTGGAAAAAAGGTGGGATGAGTACTGTGAAAGTAGTCGAATATGACATACAGTGGGGTCATGGTAGTTTGAAGTCAACTGTCGGTTCGATAAACTTTTGTCGTATGAGTATACGTTGCCCAGGGTGCACCAAGTAGAGGTAAGTCTATCACACACCCCAACCTTTGCTAGTTATAATCTAACGAAAAATTAAAAAGACTTAAATAAATGTGTGCATAGTGCTATTGGTGAGGAAATAGTTTGGAAAAGGTGNTTGATCTTTCCAGTAAAATTTAGTTCACTTTCAAATGCGACGTTCCTCATTTCGCTTTAATAAGTGAGATTTATTTATTTCAAATGGCAGGCGTTTTGTTAGCTATCATTAGACATTTAGCTGACTTCGGGCTTCAGAAAGGGTAGGTTCATCAAAGTAGCAGAAAGTCGACGGGTGGGGAACAGAAGAGCGATTCACAGACAGGCACAAAGGTAGAGAAAAAGGTAAAGTGAGTACTGTGAAAGTGGTGGAATATGACATACAGGGGGGTCGTGGTAGTTTGAAGTGAGAAGTCAACTGCCGGTTAATAGACTTTTTTGCCGTATGATGAGTATACGTTGCCCAGGGTGCACCACGTGGTGGTAAGTCTATCGCACACCCCTAATATGTGAGATTGAATCAAATGTAGGTGATTGTTCTTGTAGGTCATAAGGCGTAAATTAATTTTCAAAGGCGTGGAAGATATCCCATTTTGGAGTTCAAGCAATTAAAGTAAGAATGCCAAAAGTCATACCTTTATATTAATGCTCAATCTTCATAATTTGACCCTCAGGTTCATGGGTGAGATCATATCGCCTTTACTCATAACTCGACGATCGATTGATTTGATCCTGTGGTTGATTGGTGTCACTTGATCTATATATCGAATGATTTCCAAAGCTGAAGGCGAGTAAAGGCACACAACTCACCATAATTCACTCGCCCGTGAACTTGTGGGACATTAATAGTACCTTTCGCAGTTAACAGATAATTATGTGCGCAATTTTTTGAAATGACAGTAAAGTTTGGTTGGCGTTTGATAATAGTTAAGATCTATTTCTAGTTAAATAAGATAGACTAATGGAGGAATTCTATGACCCCCTCATGAGAAACTATTGCAATAACAATGCCCACAAACTAATCTGTTAGGTTGAGGTTGTGCAGTCTGTCAGCAAAATACCGCATATCACAGTGGAAAAATATTAAAAAAATATCGGTTAAATAAACATTTTGTTAGTTCCGTTTTATCAAAAAAAACTAGTGCGAAAGTCCCTACGAATTCAATGAATTAAGCAGACAAAATTTGAAAGGGAATAAATCCGGAAACTATACTTGCCTATTTATGAGAGCCATTCTGGTAATTTGAGTTTATCATGAACTAAAATGCAATTTCTTGTGGTGTTGACAAAAATACGAAAGTCGGACTCTATCAAAGTGCATTCTATTCAATCATTAAATAGTCAATGAAGCGATGGAATACAACTTCCAGGGAAGATCTTGAGATTATTTGAAGGCTTCAAGGAAGGACATGTTCTGAACAGTATATCCAGACCATCAAAGTGTTGATTATTCACCAGACTTCATATTCCAGAATGCAACATATATATATATATATATATATATATATATATATATATATATATATANAATTCTGGTTTGAAGCAATTACATCTTAGTAAATTGCGATAGGGTACTGACGCTGACTAATTCATGAAGGTTTTAAGATCACTTCTCTTGACTTGGATTCGGTAACTACAGAAATCAAGGTTTGTTTGTCTGGTCAACGTTGTAATACAATCAAATTTGACAATACAAACGGATCAATCTGCTCATTCCATGCATTTGGAGTTTTTAAATCTCCTTTGCTAGTTATTATTATTATATCAAATGGCAGGCGTTATGATGGTTATCATTAACCCTTTAGTTGACTTCAGGCTTCAAAGAGGGGATGGAACATCAAAGTGTAAAACATTCAAGAGGGGGTGGGCAGAAGAGTGTATCAAAGACGAAGGGAGATAAGGTGGAAAAAAGGTGGGATGAGTACTGTGAAAGTAGTCGAATATGACATACAGTGGGGTCATGGTAGTTTGAAGTCAACTGTCGGTTCGATAAACTTTTGTCGTATGAGTATACGTTGCCCAGGGTGCACCAAGTAGAGGTAAGTCTATCACACACCCCAACCTTTGCTAGTTATAATCTAACGAAAAATTAAAAAGACTTAAATAAATGTGTGCATAGTGCTATTGGTGAGGAAATAGTTTGGAAAAGGTGGAAGCGATTTTGCTCACGGGATTCGAGATTTGTGCTTCTTCACTACTCAACTTCAATAGTAGTTTGCATTGCTTGTTCCAACGAATTCTCCACAGAGAAGCTCGTTGAATCCACTGTTGGCGTTGACTTACTGATAAATGGTACATAAAATTGCTCACTGGAAATCCTTGTTGATCGTGGCACAGGAGAAACCATGACCTTTTCAATAGCCCAAATCCATTATTTACCTTTCTGTGAACAATTGCAAATAGTTAGTAGAGTATCACTTCACTGTCTCTACTGTAATTCTATTGAAATTGCTATCTAACCCTTTATTATCGAAGCCAAAATCTTTTCCGAAATGGAATGGGTATAGTGCCTTAGAATGGTTGATTTTTGAGAGTGTTTATTGAGCTTTCTGTACCGTCGAACACTTTATCTAACTTTGATTTATATCCTATCAATCAATGCATTTACTGAAAATGACCATGCGTTTGCTCAAGTATATTTTAGAGGTCGTGAAGAGGGAATATATCGTTTCAGGGGTTCATTTAATTCACTGACTAACCGATAAAATATAATGTTTGTCGAAGCCTCGTAGGCCACCATTGAGGACGTTGAAGGCGATTACTCCATAAATCAATAGAAGAACCAGCAGATATGGCACGTACACTGACAGTTAATTAAAACATGCGACAAGCTAAGCCGAAACCAAAGGCTGAAAAAATGATGATCGTGGTAATTATGACAAGGTGATCGCTTTCTTCAGCATTCACTTTTTGGTGCTTCTCAACCCATTTTCTAATTTTCTTAATTCTCAGGGATAATTCTCTAACCAACGCAATGTATTTTTAGTGCTTCCGTTTCGAGTCACAATACCTATTGAATATTTTTTTGACAAATACAGTTATTTGATCATAGACTATACTTCGATACAACAACACAATACTTTTATGAACCTCGAGAAACCTTAATGAGACGATTTGCGCCTCTCGATTCATTAAAAAGTAAAACCATAAAAGAAGAGATTTACTGGCATATCGACAAATCAGTTAAATTTTATTTTAGGATTTATTAAAAAGTCAAAAATGATTTATAGGCCCCGTTAAATGAATTTAATTACACATTTCATTAACGTTTTATGAAAATTTGAGTCATTTTCTTCATTCAATTAAAAACCGCTGCATTAAAACTGCAAGAGCATTTTCGGAATCAATAAGGCGCCTATTCAAAAGAAATCGAACATTTGGTTTGTCGGTTTTTAAAATATTATATCTAACTTTTGGTTTTACCTACAAGTGTTGCAAACTGGAAATGTATGTCCATAAGGCAAAGTTCCATAAGCCGGCAGTTGACCTCTGACTTCAAGCCTTCTTGACCCCACTGTATGCCATATTCGATCACTTCTACTGTACTCATATAACCTTTTTACCTACCTTTGTGTCTGTCTGACTCTTTCACATATGTGAATCACTCTTCTGTGCCCCCTCTCGAATTTTTCTCACTTTGATGTTCCTCCACTCGGTGAATCCTGAAGTCGACAAAAGGGCTAATGAGAACTTTCACAACGCCTGCCATTTGATATTAATAAAAAAGTAACAATTTTTGCCCCGCGACCCAAACAACTTAATCTCGAAAGCGCTTGAATAATCTCCACAGCACTTGATACAACGACCAATCAGTGACTAATATTCACGCAAAGTGGAGTGTGCGATAGACTTACCTCCACGTGGTGCCCCCAGGGCAACGTATACTCGTACGGCAATAAAGTCTATTAATCAACAGGTGACTTCTAACTTCATATTCAACTGTGTCATATTCGACCATTTCCACAGTACCCATCTTACCTTTTCTCTGCCTTTATGTCTGTCTGTCTCTTTTATATCTGTGGACCGTTATTCCGTAACCCCTCTTGACTTTTGTCACTTTGATGTTTCTCTTCCTCCTTCCCTCTGTGAAGCCCGAAGTCGGCTAAAGTGCTAATGATAACTATCAAAACGCCTTCCATTTTAAATAAATAAATATTCACGCAAAAGTTGCTGTTGACCACACCTTGTAATAAGCTCTATTTACTACATTCGTTTTGTTTATTCGATACTTCAAAGGTAGCCCAGGTAATTATGAGCGAATTTTAAGACTTAGTCAGGGCCATTTTGTGTCAGTGATTTTATTTAGTGACCAGTAATGTTACATTACAAATGTGTGGCAATTCACACACTTGGAACCATTCATATTCTAATTCATTGCTCTCCTAAAATAAATATTAAAAAATACAATTAAATTTATTTTAAGAATTCATTTAAACAATTTTTGCTTACACTTGTTGCTCTGAACGCTTTCATTTCATATATGATTCCAGAATCAGCTAAATAAATGAAGTTATAGTAGCAAAAATTCATTGAGAAAATCAAACATTCACTATTTATGAACTAAAAATGAGGTATGTTTCTGAGAAGTGATTTCATGAGAAGAGGAGAAATGGCTTATTACGCTGATTCTTAGAAATTTAATCTTACATGCAAGGAGGAGATTTCCATCTAAAATCGCCATTGAATAAGGTGATGAATTCATAGTCGGACATTCGGAAATGAGAGTCCACTGAGAAGAGCCCAGGGATAATGCTTCAACAGAATCGTTGGCTCCTTTGGTAACATAAACAGAATCTTCAAAAAAGATAGCTGCGGGACAGAATCGGGGTTTTAACATTGGAGTTATCTGTTGCCAAGTTTGGTTGAGTTCCTCTCCTAATGCTCCATTCAAAAATATCTCAGCAGTCCGTAGATATGGCCCGGTGTCGCCGCGTCTATCAGAACCTCCAAGAACTAAGTCACCAGCAATGGGTACATGAACTGCTCCAGTTCCGTATCGAGGTGTTGGCATATTTGGGAGAGGTGTCCATCTAGAAAATCGAATATTTATAGGCCGTCTGTTGTAAAACATTTTCTGATATTGATTAGTTTTGTATATTCTGGTCCTGTGTACTTAACTACCGTTCCTGTTAAATGGTTTTATAAGACCAAGTACACATTTTCTTCAGGAAAAGTAACTTGTTATGCCCTCCATATTGTAGCGATGCGAATTCTTGATCGATTCCCAATTTGTATTTGTAGGAATTAATGTGCAGTTATCCAAAAAAAGCCATTTCATTATGGAATTTCATAAGATCCCCTATGAAGAATGCATAGAATTTAAAGCCTTCAAAGATTCATCAGACTTTCTTTAAGCATTCTTTTGTAAAATTAAATATAGAAGCCCATACTCGAGAGAACATTGTTTGATTATTGATTCTTTCTTTGTCCTGTTCTGCCACGAAAATGTTTGTCTTCAAATTGTAATCTGATTTTATGTATTTATTATGAAGGTCATTACTACTAAATGTACATTATTTAAGTTAAAAATAGATACGTCCATTTTATCACAAATACAATGTAAATTTTGTCGCGGTATAAAAAGATAGATATAGCTTGAAAACAGTCCGTCTATTTTGTTCTGATGTGCCTTTAGATTGAACTGGAAGATGATAAATTTAAGCACCCACTTTCCCTAAATCCCATGTTGCCATATTGTGGTGTGCGATAGACTTACCTCCACGTGGTGCACCTAGGCAATGTATACTCAAACAACAAAAAGTCGATAAATCAGCAGTTGACTTCTGAATTCAAACTACCGTCACTCCACTGTGTGTCAAATTCGACACCTTTTTTCTACCTCTGTGTCTGTCTCTTTTACTTCTTTAAAACTCTCTTCTGTTCCCCCCCCCCTTTCGACTTTTCCCACTTTGATGTTCCTTCCCCTCTGTGAAGCCTGAAGTCAATAAAAAGGGCTAATGGTAACTATCAAAACGCCTGCCATTTGATATTAATAAATAAATATTACCATATTACCCACGTTGGCGAAAATGTAATATATGTGTAGAATTTGGCCCACCTGTCAAGTGTCGTATCATATTTTTCACAAGAGGAGAGTATAGATCTCCCATCATAACCACCAAAAACCTTAATGGAATTTTCATAAGCAACAGCCGATGCCCCAAATCGAGATTGTCCCAAGGGAGCGACTTTTGATACACGGCCGTTGTGTGAATTAATTTTCTGAACCTTTGCCACTGATTTTTTATCATTATCCTTCCCGCCGATTATGTAAATGTCACCTGCAAAGTTAAAGTAAAGGGGGAGGGGATTTTTGAAGAAAGAATGACCACATTTCTATTGAAGAATGGTGTAATGATTGAAAGAATCTATGATGAAATAACTTAACTCCAAAAAGATGACCTTCGGCATAGCCATGCCAGTAATGATAGGATGATTTAGAGGGGATCAAAGACTTTAGTAGCCCTTTCATAACCAACTTACCCTTCAAAATAACAATAGCAGTATCCGGTCTGTAGGGAATACAGTATCGAGTGGCTCTAACAGTCTGCATTTCTGGAACAGTCATCAACACTCCATACTCTGATCCTTCATCAAGGGCATAGATCAGTAATCTTTCACTGAAGCTGCAAAACATGAAGCAAAGTACAGGGCGACAGTTCTTTAGAGCTAGTGTTTATGATTGCTTAAAAGGCATTTTCCTGAATAACTAACGGATTATTGCCAACTGAACCGACCCTTTCAAGATTTCGGTATCTTCCTATGGCTAGTATCCATGATTATTGGCGCTTCGTTGCGCTTCTAAAATTTTTAATTTATATCAAAATGACAAATATATGGGTATGAGTTGGTTAACTGTCTGGGTATGACTCTTACCTTAAACCAGTTAATGATTTGGCCTAGTTATGCATATGAATCATTAAGTGAAAACTAGAAGGTTTATCGATTTTTCCAAAGTATCTAATATTTGTGCTTAGGTTTTACGAAATCTGTTGTGCGCTAGTTTAATGACTCCTGACTATTCCACCAACCACATCTACTTCATTCTGCCTTCTTAAAGCTGGAAAAGAAGGTTTCACTATTCTCTATAAACAATCTTTAATAATCCTCGAAACCCACCTTGGCACATTTCTCGGAGATGTCAAGCAGCCTTCAGAAAGTGGATTAATCTTTTTCCACAGGCCTAGTAATATTGTTCTGTGAAATAAGAATAGGTCAATATTGTAACTTCAAGCTAAAGCTCACCTGAATTCCTTCGGTACTTCAACATTCGATTCGCCAGTAACAAGTTCTATAAGATACTCTCTTGAGAGTTGTTCGATGTCAATTTTCGCCAATAATTGCTTAATCTCATGGTTTCTTTCTTCTTTGTCAGTAACACTTAGTGCTGTATTGGCCCACAATGCTAGTATTCTCACCTTATCATCTTCAGTTATTTCCCCACAACGGGGATCATTGATTACCCTTTCAAGATTCAGTGGTTCTGTATAGGCAAGAAATCGATAACTATCTCGTATCTTTTCGAATTTTGTGGCAATTAGAGGTATACAAGTGATGATGAGGTCTTTGTTGGAAGTCACATTTGCAATCGACCATACTTGCTCCAAATTCTGAGAAGATAAGCTATTGAAAATGTTTGGCTTTAGCATCAAAATGAAGTACCTTTCCTTGAGGACATCACTGCACCAGGAGATCACTTTTGAACATCCGAGATTGTGAGCAAGTAAGTACAAATGTGAAGCATTAGCAAGACTGATTCGAATTTTCCCCGTATAAGCATAGTCAAGCATTGTATTTACAATACTGAAAGATTAGCAATTATATATTTAGATATACCTAGAATGAAAACGATTCCACTTGACTTTGGCTTTCGTTTCATCTGGCAGAGTAGATTCAATTGCTGGAAATTGCGACCAGAGAACTACTCGATGAGCTTTGAGTTCTTCCTTATCTTCCGTCTAAGGGATTAAGTTAATTAAAAGTTAATTACTTCGATGATTAAGTCCAAAAATTTCCCCTTTCGTCGATATTCATCAAAGGACGCTATGGGCAGATCAGTAATACTCACGTTTGTAAATAAGCTTTCTCCCATTGTATTCGGTTTGTTTACAATAATTTGATTTAGAGTTTTGTGGGATTTTATAGACCCTCATTACATTTTGATTGGTGGTTTGAAACTAAGTCCATTTTTAGCTCATTAATTTTCATTATCTGGTTGTTAGATATTTTATTGGATTTCACTATATATTATCCAATTAGAAATTCAGAAGAAAGCCAAACCGTAGTTCATTAATTGCCATTTATATCCATAAGTTAAAAGAAATCCCGAGTTAATCCTTCCGCCAAAAAATACCCTTTTATTATACACTTCGTGAATTGCCAATCAAGACGAACCACATCTCTCATTCTTCCCAAGTTTACCCACTAAACCCTTTTACAGTACACCTCTACCTCCCCCCCCCCCCCCCCTACTTCCCTATAGCGGTTTAAGTAAAATGAAACTAGACCTCTAATCTACTTCAGCATTTATCGCTTGTTTCCCTTAAGGTTAAGCAAATACAAACCTCATAGTACTATACACCCCATTACTCATTATTTCAGCTAATTCGTACCAACCTAGCAAAATGAAGCGAGACAATAGACCATTAAAAACAGTTTATTAGGGGATAAACATACATTTGTGCACATATAAGAATGAAATAAAGTAGCACATAGTGAAGAGGGAAAAGTGGGTAGGAAGAAGCAAAAATTAATTGTCAAATCATTACTACTAATAGGCATGTCCATGATCAAATGATTACTATGTAAAGGAGAGGACCATGCTATTTACAGTACTTCAGTAGCATGTTTGTTTACTGATGAGAACTATTATCGTAGTGTTCACCGCCACCATTATTGATTGGCCTTAACCCAATTACGTCGGAAAGGTGACCTCCACAAGCTCTCGCGCAAGCATCAGATGCAGCTCCAGCTGCTCCTCCCACATTAAAGGCACCTGGAAGGTCGGGACCAACGGCGACAGTCTGGGTTGGCTTGTTGGACTTGTTCTTCAGAGCTGCGTTCTTAGCTGCTCTCTCCTCGGGTGTCAGACTTGCATCACCAAACATAATACTCACCCGTCCGCGGGCTTTCAGTTGAAGGTACTACAAAAACAAGTAGTAAAATGCATATTCACTTGACCTGTACTAATTGTAAGTCTTATGCGAACCGCTCCTAAACCTAATTTTATTAGCTCAGCAGTTCCAGTTTATCACATTATCTGCAATTTACTATCTAGATACACATAAAGCTCTCAAACCTATCTGAATTACCTCGGGTAACGTTTCACCTGTAAATATACGTCTCCAAATTCAAATTTTAGCTTCGAAACAAACTTTAAAGAGCCATTTTATCCTATTAGAATAGTTTCAAATAAACGTTTCAAAGATGACTCAGTAAATAAAGACTATAATCGGTTATAAAACTGATACCGGTGGAAACCATTTCTATGTTCAATAGGCACAAAAACTTTAAATACATCAGAGTAAAGTCTCCTATATTTTGTACTGAAGCTCCACAGAGCCTCGATAAAGAAAAATTAGAATTTTGTAGGCCAGACTTAAGAAGCGTAATTACCCTTTGGCCTCATTGGGTGAGTAAAAATAAAAGCAGTAACATTTGGTTTTTCATACGACCATGTTTACCAACGAGACTCCAAAACAATTCTCCCGGAAACCAAATACCACTAAGCATAGCAGCTAATTAATAACAGGTTGAATTGGATAAAACTTTTGCAAATTGAATACAACGTCAGAGACTTACATTCCCATCTTCATCCCGATGTTTCTCATGGAATCTGAGATGGACATTGAGATTCGATTTCTTGTTAAATCGACGACCACAAATGTGACATTCGAAAGGCAGTTGACCTAAGTGAATACGAAGGTGCTCATTGTAGTAGACCGATTTTGTGAACTGTTTGTCACAGTACATACACTTGAAGCGAGCATCTTTGTGGGTCAACATGTGCATCCCAATTTGAGTTACAATCTAAAACAGAAGTATTAGTTATCATTCGGTGGTTTTCCCTGACCACACTTGAGCAAAACTTCGTTAAGCTCTCTTAAGTTTAAAAAGGAGACATTCCATCACTCATTTCAGACATATGACATGCATCTAGGGGCCCCTATGATAAAAATCGCGTTTTTAGTCCGATACTAATTTTAAACCATAAAATTTGTAATTTTATTCACCAAAGGATATCGAACTGTTGACAACTAGTTTCATACGCGTAACTCGTACACATGACTAGTAGCATACCCATTCAAAAATATTACAAATCCGTTCTTGTTGTTGGGCATTGCTCAGCAATACACTAGGAACCTATGGTAGAGAACGCTGTATTACAAATCGACCAATATCTAAAAATATCCCAGTATGAGAGTTGGTCAACTACATTTCATGACCGATAAAGGATAAACTTAAAGCTCAAATGATAACATCATTAGTATAAATGAAAGAATTGAGCAGACATACCTTTCCACAGATCTGACACTCAAACTTCTCGGGACCCAACTGCATGTGTTCAACACGGACGTGTCGACGCATAGCAGTCTTACTCTTGAAGGAAACTGAACACTCGGTACACTGGAAGATCTTATCTCTAAAGTGTTTATGTCTATGTTGGGAGTAGCAACGCAAATTGGCGCACTGTTTGTGACAAATCTCACATTTGATCGGTCCACTGTGCGTCTCTTTCATATGGCGACGCAAATAGGTTTCAATTCGAAAACGCTGTTGGCACACAGGACACTGGTGAAGCAGTTCCAAGTTATGCATTCGAGCAATGTGGTATTTTAGGGCAGACCTCTTGGGATAGGTGATACCACACTGCTCGCAAGTAGCCGGCCCGTCATCCAGCTCCTCCGTATCATGACGCATCTGAATGTGATGATTGAGAGCCTGCTTTGAACGGAATTCTCGGCTGCATTCAGGGCATGGATGCAGTACCCCTTCAACATGCTTCTCCACGTGTTGTCTGTGAGCTCTACGATCAGAAAAACGCTCTCTACAATGAGGACATTCATACATATTGGGAGTTGCATTATTATGCACTGCCTGAGCATGGTCTAACATTCCTTTATGGAAGGCGTAGAAAGGAGTAGTTTTACATTCATCACATCGATAGACAGTCTGTGGACCAGCGTTGTTATACTCTGACAGCGGAGCATGCTGTAATTGAAGATGGTCAGAAAGTTCCTCAAGAGTGCCGAATATCTCCGCACAGAAACGGCACACAAGACTAACATCGGATTCAATATCATGGGCAGATTGCAAGTGATCAACATACTGCTTGCCCGAGCATGGACAGACAAACTGACAGAACTTGCATTTGAGTCTTGTGTTGACTCCCTCATCATCAGCACTTCTGTTCCTTGGAGCTCGAACTTGAACAGGGCCCATTTGGCCAGTGTTAGGATCGACTTTGAAAATAACTCCATGTTCTGCCCACTGATGGAAGTAGAAATTATGCGTTGTGCCGTAGAAATTGTGACAAGTAACACAACCAATAACTTCATTTGACACCTGACTTTCATGCTCGATGTGCTCTTTGTAGTGATAGGACAATTCTTCAATGGTATGCAACTGTGCCAGACACAGAACACAAGTGAGATGAACATCCGTAAAGTGCTGCTTAATATCATCTACAGCTTGACCACAGACACCGCAGATGGATTTAGGCGTACCATCAGCCGAAACAAGATCCGATTCAGCCTGTTCAAGAGGACTACGGGTGCTGAAAGAGATGCCATCACAAATTTCCATGTGCTGAGCCATGACATCAGCCGTAGGGAAGAAGTCGAAACAGTTCTCACATTGAGGTGACTCCATACGATAAGTGAGAAGTGAACTTCGTGCGAAGACATTTGTAAGGCCCGGGAAGAATTTGATATCCTCTTCTCCAGCCCCCATTTCATTTGCCCCATCTTCATCTTCAAGCCTCACTGAAGTATCATTGTGCTCTTGCATGTGATTAAGAAGTGCTCTACGATCATTGAAACAGCGACCGTGAATAGGGCACCGGAATTTGGTCAAACCAATATGCCTCAATTCGTGCTCAAGCAGACCAGAAACAGAATGAAGTTCCTTTGAGCAGACAGAGCACACTCCCCAGTGTTCGGGCATAGGAATTGGTGGAGGAGGTGGATCATTTGGATTTGCTTCTGCAGAAGCTGCTGCAACAGATTCTGCTGCTTCCCTGTGTTGTCTAGCAAGCATTTTAGGTGTATGCTTAACAGCCATGCGGAAAACTACGTCGTAAAGTGAGAATGAGACGGGGCTTGTGTAGATGTGATCTACCAACTCATCGCAGAAACTTACGACCTGATCAACAAGGGTCTGTTGACCGAAATGCGGGAGATAGACAGCTGGAAAGACTGATGAGGTTGAGCTTTCTTCGTTGAAAATCTTAAGAAAAGCAGAACAAGCACGACTATCTCCAGTTATTGCTTGTGGAGCTAAAGCTGCATGATCGGGATGACCAGTTGCATTACCATAACCAGCAGGAATTAGTTCAACAATTCTTTGAAGAACCCGGTTCTCATCCACTTGCAGAGCATACAGAAGACCATTGATAACCACCAGACGGCATTCAGTAATATCCGGAGTGAATTTCGGCTCCATTTCAGCTAGAGCATCAGCTGTAACGGATGAAAATTCCGCATTAAGAGAGGAAATATCAAGAGGTCTAACAGCACATTCATCCGAATCGAGTATCCAAGAGAGACGAATAGGCACTTCAAAGACAATAGCCAAAGGAACACGTCTTTGACTGTCAACAAGAATGAACTTTGAGCATCGATAGATGCTAGGTGTCTCTGCATCGGTATTAATATTTGTCAAAACAGCATTCACTATTGCTGTTCCACTCGAAGCAACCACTTCTCTCAGGGCAATCGATCGAAGATTATCAAAAACAAGATCTGGAAGGAGAGCAACAGCTTTTCTTTCAATAAGTGCTTCAGGATCAGCAGTGAACATCCCATCCATAAGTGCAGGAGCATCTGAAGTAATACCGAAACGAGAAAAAAAGAAGTTCTCTTCACTCACAAGTGAGAAGACCTTGAAGTGACTAGCGCCCTGCGGTGTAGGAGTAGGCATAGGTGGACTAGCACTCGGTTCATAGCATACCAAAATGAGAGCATCCTTCCTACTGTTTGGCTTCATGAGGAAACAGTCCATGAGATGAATACGACCAATTTGAGGAGATGTGCGAATATTACTCGGCTCTTCTTCATCATCAGCTGCTCTAATGGTGGTAACTTCTTCCAGAATCTGTTCAAGTGCCGCATAGGAGTCCAGATCAATCGGTAGGTTTTCATTTACGACAGATGTGCGGTCAGTATCAGAGAGTTGAAGAGGACCTCTTTGCAAATTCTCGAATTTGAGTGTTTTGCGCTTTCGAGAGAGTGGAACTTTTTTGAGATCCCATGTGTCCGTCAGAGCAATGCCTAGGAGTTTACTCTCACTATTTACAGCTGCAAGAATTCGATGAAGACAAGGCGGCTCAATAGCTTCCAAATTAACAGATTCGTCCCCTTCAGCAGTTGCATTACCTCTCTCAGCATAGCTGATGATCTTCTCATATGGTAGAGCTACCATATCATTCAGCTGATCCCAGAAATCGTTTGAGATAACAATTTGATGTACGTCAGTCATAAAACGACCCATATGACCAGCCGAGTTGATAGCAGTCTGTTGAACAAGTGAGACTTCCAGATCAGTAAAAGGTAAACCGGTTTGAACGAGAACATTAAGGCTACCCTCGAGGATATACGCAGGTTCGATTGTCATCCCTGAATCAAGGCTTTCTGAGAGACCATTGAGTTTATCTGTGAGTACAGAAATATTAGAAAGAGGCACAGGTTCTTGATGAACGATGGGAGCGAACCAAAGGATACGATTTGCCAATGTGTCATACTGTTTAGACATGAAGGCATGCAAGAGCTCCACAACTTTATCAGGGTCATTGACACGCCCCATAAGACTTTGCAAGCTTGCAGAAGGACCAAAGAACACCCCCATATGTTGATTACTGGGTCTACACATTTCCACAAACATTGAATCCATGCAACTGTTGAGATAAGGGCACTTCAAGAAATTCGTATAAGCATCCAAATCAGGGCGAGATTTAAGGGATGTCGCCAAAGCACCGTAGATATTTGAACCCCAAATAGCACTAGATTGGGCGCCAGATCTTGTCGACTTTGATCGGGTTCCTCCAGACTTACGATTTTGCTTAGTACCCGCGGATTGTCTCATTTTACGGAATCTTCTATCCGACGCAATACTCTGTGCATCAAAATCGTATATATCTTTATCTCCACTGGGGTCAGTATTACTCGGTCCTGCAACAGGATTCACACCCGACATGTCGGAAAAAAGACCACCCATTGCCGACTCATCCAATCTGCTAGAATCCTGCATAGCCGACACCTCATTTAGAAGATGCAGCCTACTTTCCTGCATGCCATCATCATCATCTTCATAATCTGAGAGGTCCTGGTCATCTTCCAAGTCGTCCATATCTAGATTTGTGGAAGAAGTTCCAGTTGTTCTAGCGTTAGATCTACGATTCCGATAACGCCTGCGAGAGGTATTTCTTGACGCCCCTCCTTGAATTTCATCGAAGTCTTCATCATCCATGTGATCTACGGCCCCGTCGGGAACATAATCGCTCCCTTCATCATTAGCATCAACGTCATCATCGCTAGAGGGTTCCTCTTGAACTCCATAGCTTTCGTCTACGTAATCAAGGGCGTTGGCTGCTAGAGCTGTAAAATCCTCGCCCTCTTCTTCACCACCCACTGCAGATTTTGCGGCTTTTGTTCGTGCTGCAGAAGTACTAGAACGACCTTTCCCTCTTCCTCTAGGTGTTGAATTACGGGGGCGTTTGGGAGCTGAAGCTTTAGGGGTGGTGGATGGAGCCCGACGACTTCTACGTGTTGAAGGTGTCGAGGAAAGTTGGTTTTCTCCCTCCTCAACCTTGGGTACAAGATCCATCTTTAAAGTTTAGCTAGAACAGTAAAACTGGAATCATGAAGTAAGCATTAAATAAGGCTTGAAAATAACCAAAAAAATCAAGGCAAATAAAGTAAAGTCAGATCAATACTTAAATAGAAATAGCAAAATCCTTACACGTGATAATCAAAACATAAACAACCGAAATAAGACTCTTCAAAAGTAGGCTGAAATATAGAGATAAACGAACAATTTCGCCATAAAAAAGGCATAAAAGAATGTCCAACTTAAGCTTTATAAACGTTTAAACCTAAGAGAATGTGCTTACAATACACCGTGAGGTATGAAATGAAGCCCTCAAAATGCATCGATTCATCTGTAAAAGTAGCAACTAATCAAATAAAGCAGATAAAAAGGAATAACACCACGAATGCCTTTAAAAATATTAAGATAATGATAATTCGAACACTAAACTCAGGTAGGGATTAAAACATGAGGGTTAAAGAAAATAAGTAGTAAATTGATTATACTTTAAATTCCAAACGCCAAAACACTGGGAGTCTACTGATTAATTTCAGTAGACATACATTAAATCTATTAACACAAATTAGAGCAAATATGTACGAAAATAAGGTTTAACAACTAGAAAAGACAAGTAAAAAGGAACAAATAACCTAAGAGAATCATGTCTAACCTACCGTCAGCAGAGGAAAATGGCTGAATGGATTTAAAAACTGAAACCATGTTTGGAGCAATGCATAATCAAACAATGTAATATCCGAAAAACGTTACTCGGTTAAATATTTATTTCCAGATAAGAAAAGTTTACTAATTAAAAAGTATTTGAAGAAATTTAATTACAATAAGTTTATTAATCATTGCAGTATATCAAAGCAATAAATGAGAGTGATTTTCGTAGAGATGGAACTACCTATGATGGATTAATGATAATTATCTAAAATAATAATAATCTATCTAAGATCATTCCTCATTATTCCCGTTAATAAACCGAAATTGATTAAATCTGAGTTTTCGCGCTGGTCACACCTTCGAATGTCTAACAATATGACTTTCATTTCAATGAATTCTTTGATTTGATTGAGTAAATAAGTGTTTATTTTCTGAAATTTCTGCCGTAGAAGTGCATATGGCTATTATTAAGGACATAGTCCAAAATATTGAACTAAATATGGACATTTTACGTATTCATAACTGATTTGACTTCAGCAAAATGATTATTTATATCATCAAACCAATATATTTTTCACTAATTAACTCCCCTGTTTCAGTCTTATGCGAGCATTTAATCGAAATAAACCCCAACCAAGCGGAAAACTGAGTACAACATCGTCGCCACAAAAAAGTCCGTTTGCCATCATTAAAAAAATTATATATATATATATATATATATATATATATATATATATATTCTGAGATAATTTGGCAAGTATCAATCAAGTGAGCCAATGCTACTATAGAGGCAAAAGCTAATTGTGACTGTATTATTTATTTTTATCCATAAGTCATATGCACCTTGTTTCGAATAAGTTTTAAAATTGTCATTGTAATTCTTTGAAATATTTACAAACAAAACGAATCTGACACAGTATATGATTTCGAATTCCTTTCAAATCGATTTGAATCTCTTAACAACACATCTTTAGTAATTTAGTTTTTTTACTGTTTATCAAGTTGCAAAGGAAGTGAAAAGTGCTAACCCTTTCAACTAAGACAATGGGATATTTTATCATAGTCCGGATTTGATCCTGACATTTAGTTATCTTTACTTACCTTACGATTTCAAATTAATTATCATCTTCTCAACAATATTCTCTGCCCTCTTTCCGTGATTCAACTTAACGAATATTCCTAGCGCTTACAAAAACAGCTGAAGTCTTTTTTCATATTAAACACGAGTTAAAATGATAGGTGCTTTTGAATAGAAAATAATAAAAATTAAAAAAAAGCTTCAAAATGTACATCAGAATAATTTATTTATCATTTATTAGAAGAAACATTGAATTCTGTCACATAGTTGGAGAAATCCAATTCATTTTATGATACTTAAAAGTGATTGACCAGTTCATTTCACTGAAGAGTTTAAAAAATTATCAAATAAAATGAAATACTTTCAAAAGTGATAAACTCAACTTCGATGTATATATTTTACTGTCTCCAACGGTCTTCATTTTCATAGCATTGTTTAACCTTGTCCACTATTGCGCAATTATAACGAACTTTTCTCGAAAGTTGCTAATGGATTATAGCAAGTGGGACCATATAGAGGTATATTTGGTTTATTTTTCGTCACAAAATAATAGGTATCTGATGATGAGGACGACACTCATCCAAATATTGATACTGCCAGTCTATTTCGTTGGCGTCATGAAGCACGTCTAAATAGAGACCGTGAATGGAAAGAGGAAAAAGAGAAGTTTGTAAAGGAAAAAAAGGAGCACACGCAAGCTCTTCAAAAGGCTAGGCGTGAGTATGAAGATGGTGTTAAGGTTCGTTTTAGGTTTATTGCATTTGCTTTTAGAATAACGCTTCAAATGTGAAACAGCTAGAGGAAAATTTAAAGCAACTTGAAATCAAGGACAAGGAATGGCAAGAAAGAGAAAAGGAGATGAATAAGAAGGAAAGAGTATGTCTTTTTTGTATTTATTGACCATATTTAGCTCCGACCTCTTAATGTCGACACAATTAGTCATGAAGGCAAATCTCGCACGGTAATTTTCTTGTTTAAAAATGTTTCATTTTTCCCAATATAAAATTATATTGCAATTTTTAATTTGTTTAGGTAATTAATAAAGATGCCTTGAAGGAAAAACCTGATCTGGAAGAAGATAACGATGAAGTTCATGAAGAGGCGGCGGAAAGACTAAAAAACTTCACTGAAAAATACGAAAAGGAGATTAAAAAGTTTGGTCTGTTCTCCCGTCCCTTGGATTCCAAAATTTATCTTGAGGAGCATCCTTTCCTTGTCTGTGATGAAACCGCTAATCATCTCGTTCTCTGGTGTCTGGACTTGGCCATGGAAGAGGTATGTTTCGTTTATAAACTCCTTGTGGGTCTCATCACCCGTTTTTATATATTTTTTGCATTTCACAGTTTTTTTCTTCAAGATTTGAATATTTTAGTTGCTTGAATGCAGTTAATAAGTTTGCAAAATATTAAGTCAATGTATATGTTTTGCGGAAGTAAATGGCTTGCTAAGCTGGCTGCCAATTTCATGAACAATTGAAGTTTTTTTGAGACAGCTTGTGATATGTAGAAACTAAGTTAAATGAGTAACAATCTTTGCAGAAATTTTGTGACTTTTTTCAATCATTTTTATATTAGTGCTTATGGTCATTTAGCATGCTATTTGTATTCGAAATTTTTGCCATTTATTAGATAGTGCTTTCTTTTATATTTAAATGAAGTTAAGCAGATTGGACACATTTGTTCGAAATTATTTGACACAGCTTTGGTAGGTTTTTAATTCTTCCGTTTACAATTGTAGACACTTCGTGAATATTGGTTCAATATGTATTGCTTTAACATTTATTTATTTATATCAAATGGTAGGCGTTTTGATAGTTATCATTAGCTCTTTATCTGACTTCGGGATTCACAGTGGGGAGGAACATCAAAGTGGGAAAATTTCGAGAGGGGGAACAAAAGAATGATTTAGATGTAAAAGAGACACACATAAAGGTAGAGAAAAGGGTGAGGTGAGTACTGTAGAAGAAGCCGAACATGCATTACAGTGGGATCATTGTAGTTTGTAGTGAGGTAAACTGTGGGTTCATAGATATTTTGTCGTATGAGTATACGTTGCCCAGGATGCTCCAAGTGGAGGTAAGTCGATC